GGGTGGATTTGGTTAGTCGATCCACGACTACCCAAATAGCGTTCTTCTTGCTCGGCGTGAGGGGTAATCCGACCACGAAATCCATGGCAATAGAATCCCACTTCCACTCTGGAATCTCCAACGGCTGTAGCTTGCCCCCCGGCATCTGTGCTCTGCCTTTACTTGCTGACAAGTGAGGCACCTCGCTACATAATCTGCCACATCCCTCTTGACTCTCGGCCAAGTATACCACTGTCGTATCCCCTGATGCATCTTGCTCGCCCCCCGGATGTATCGCCAACCTCGACTGATGTGCCTCTGACAAAATCTCTTGTCTCAGCTCCGGATCGTCGGGCACACATAGTCGGTTCCCAAGTCGCAACGCTCCTTGCTCGTCAATGCGGTAGCCTTTGAGGCTATATTCCTCGATGTGATCCATGCATCGAGCGAGTAAAGGATCACCGCGCTATCCCCTGACCACGCGCTCTATCAGAGTCGGTGTTATATATATATATAACAAAGAAAATAATTTCGGGAAATGACAAAACAGATATTTACATTTGAAAAATTTCTATCAAACCCTTGAAATCAGTTCTACTAGTCGAATTATATTAAAAATATTAATATCGTTTCTTTATCTTAGTGTAAATAGTTTCTTCCTTCAAACATCTATTTTGAATTTCATACGGTGAACATATAAATTTATTCTGAGATTTTGGATAAGGTTTCATCAATATAAGTACGATGCCATTTTTGTTGGAACATTCATATGATTTTACTTTGTTCAAACATTCACCATGGTTACCATTGTGAAGCTTGCGTTACTATAAACAAAAGGGTTTTTTTTTTGTTGAAAAAAGGAATTTAATATCTCAACAAACATAGAAAGGTCGTCCATATATACCATATGTTTCGCCCATATTTCAAGAAAAAATAAAATAAAATTCCAAATAATGAGTAATCTAGTTCATGAAAATTGTATAATTGTACCAATTTGGTTGTGCAGTCGTGAGATTAATCAGATCATGATGATATAAGCACAGGAAAACGCACACGTCAAATAATAATAATAATAATAATAATAATAATAATAATAATAATAATAATAATAATAATAATAATAATAATAATAATAATAATAATAATAATAATAATAATAATAATAATAATAATAATAATATGAGTGGGTTATAACGAAGTGACAAAAAAGAAGGGTATCTTTTTTTTTGGTTGTCCCTTTGATTTTTCACCTCTCATCGTTTTCTTCTTGGGTTCACTCATTCTCCTCTTTACCTTTCTGTTAAGAGAAGTTGCAGAGACTTTTGAGAGCTGCCATGGCGGCTTCTCCAATCTATAAATACACAATCATGTATGTATGTGTATATATGTCTTTCTCCGCAACAAAAATAGACTAATTATCAAACAAATAATAAAATAATTAGAAAGAAAAGTAAACCATCGTTAGATCTTAAATACGGACAGGTGAGTTCTGTTCCTTTCTCTCTCCCTCTCTCCCTCTCTCTCTGGGATCTCTTGCTTTTGCTTTCTTTCATCAGTTCAGATGATCAAGAACCACGTGCAGAGCTGAGATTCAGGTATCGATCCTTATATATGCATACACTGATACACACACATAAAGTATCTATTAGATCGATGAACTATATATATATATATATGTGTATATATACACTTTGATTTCTGATTATTGCTTGTATTCATGTAGAAACTAGTTTTCATATGGATTATCGAGTAATTATTGTTCCAATCAAACATCGTGTGTGTGTTGTTTTATTGATTCCAATTATAGAAGCTTATGGATCATAATCATCACATGATCCTATCTATGTATTTATTGTCGTCCGACAAAACGATGAACACGCTATTATGTAGCTAACGTAGTGTCTTCCTATAGGTGTGTATGTATATGTGTCGGTGAACATGTACTTATATGCCTATACACGTTTCTTGTCATAGCTTGAACGATCACCACACTTCACCGTCGTTATATTTTCCGATGGCCACGTACTTCGCCGGAAACCTGGGAATTCCCGGTGGAGAAGACGGCGGCCACAGCGCCGGCGCCGGCGGCGGGGGGTTAGGCTTACACACGATGGTTCTCATGAACCCTACAACATACGTTCACTTCAACTCCGGCGCCGACCAAGACCCGCCTCCCAACTCCTCCTCCGCCGCCGCCGCCGGAAACTTTATCCTCTTCAACCCTTCCACCGCCGGAAACTTCCTCGCGTCAAACCAGGCGCCACCGCAACATTTCCACGACCACGACCACAACAACAACAACACAAATAGCGTTAACAACGTTTCAGCTGTGTTGCATGGCTTCATCCCGCGCGTCTACGGCACGCCAGTGGAGGCGGCGCGTGAAACTCCACGCGCTAACCAGCAGGGGCTCTCTCTTAGCCTCTACTCCGAGCAGCAACGGCCTAGTTTCGTTGTTTCGGGTATGCAGGGATCGGTATTGAGCTCCAAGTACTTGAAGGCTGCTCAAGAGCTTCTTGATGAAGTCGCTACTGTTAATGAAAATAACACAAGTACCGAGAATAAGAACAGAAAATGCTTGTTGTCCAACAAAAATGGTGATGAAGTTGACGGAAAATCCGCCGGAGAATCCACCAGAGGAGCTGAAACCGGCGACAAGGTCGCCGCAGAGCTGACGGTGCCGGAGAGACAGGAGATTCAGATGAAGAAAGCTAGGCTAGTTACCATGCTTGATGAGGTTTGCTTAATTAACCTATTTACTTTCTAAATAATGAATTAATTAACGTAATTTATGCACCCTTTAACAAAAAAATTTAATTAACGTATTTTTTTTCACATGATAATTTAGTCTTTTCTTGTCTTGAGATGTCCTTTGCATGCATGCAATTGGGTGATTTGAAACGTGTCTCGTTCAGTGTTTAGTCATTTCTCAAAACGCATTGGATTCGGTCTACGTTTTAAGAGTTTAATTAACATGCATGAATGGATACATCTGGGCGTATTATACCAAGATTATCATAATCATTTATTAAGATTACGTCTAAACTCGATATTATATTCCTCCTCCTTGTTCTTGTCGCATATTCTTGAAGGTGGACCAGAGGTACAAGCAATACCATAACCAGATGAGAATCATCGTCTCATCCTTCGAACAAGCAGCGGGCTCGGGTTCAGCGAAGACCTACACGTCACTCGCTCTCAAGACCATCTCCAAGCAATTCAGATGCTTGAACGACGCCATTAAAGCTCAAATCAAAGCTCTGAACAAGAGCTTAGGAGGAGAAGAACGCGAAGAAGATGAAGAAGAAGGCAAGGCGGAAGGAGGGTCTTCATCGTCGTCGTCGAGGCTTAAGTTCGTGGATCATCATCTTAGGCAACAACGGGCACTTCAGCAGCTCGGTATGATTCATCACAGCAACAACAACAACAACGCTTGGAGGCCCCAACGAGGATTGCCTGAGAGAGCAGTCTCCGTTCTTCGTTCTTGGCTCTTCGAACACTTTCTTCACCCGTAAGATCTGGAACCCTCTCTCTGTATATTTCTGTTTGTTTTTATGGCATTCCACTGGTGATTATGGCTCATGATCTAATGATTCGTGTTTATATCAATTGTATTGTTGGTTCTTGGTTAACAGTATACGAAGAATTTTCTCCCTTGACGGCTTTTTTAGTATTTGACATTGTAATGAGAATTATAAATTTGTTTTTTGTTACTGGGTTTTTGGTGGTTCCTGAAATTCTGAAATGGGTTTTTGGTTTTTCAGATATCCGAAGGATTCGGACAAGGTTATGCTCGCTAAGCAAACCGGTCTGACCAGGAGCCAGGTACCGGTTTCTTTGTCGAATCTTACACCTGATACTCGGGTATTTCGTAACGTTTTCGATAAGATTTGAAGAAAGAATTTATTTTTTGATGTGGTTCTGAAAATGTATTCAGGTGTCAAACTGGTTCATAAACGCTCGTGTTCGTCTGTGGAAACCTATGGTGGAAGAGATGTATCTCGAGGAGATGAAGGAGCATGAGAAGAACAATGGCTCCTCCAAGAAGAAGGTGAACCCTAACGAGCATCAGGACAAAGAAGATTCCATGCCTAAATCTGTCGGTTACAGCGACAAGAAAGAGAAAAGCCATGTTTCTGAAGCTCCACAGAACAGTCTGATGCTGAGACAAGACAGTTTCATGAACAACAATGGTCATGGAGGAATCACCATGGCTGTTCCTGTGACAGCTTCTGCCTCAGCGACTGGATTCTCGATCTCGGGAGCATCTGAGTTGGAAGGAATCACGCAAGGGAGCCCGAAGAGAGTTCGTATAAACGAAATCCTGCATTCTCCAGCCAGCGTTCCCTCTGCCAAAATGGATTTCAACATTCCCGAAAGATTCAGAGACGAGAAGGAGTTTTCGTTCCTAGCCAGCAACACAAACTTCATGGGAGGAAATTTCGGGGCATACCCGATTGAGGAAGCCGGGAGATTTGAAGCAGAGGAATTCACACCGAGCTATTCAGGAAACAACAATGGAGTTTCTCTCACACTCGGCCTCCCTCACTGCGAAAGCTTCTCGGTTTCTGCCCCAACGCATCAGAACTTCTTCCCGAATCAGAACATTCAGATCGGTCGGGACGTGGAAATGTCTGAGCCAAATGAATTTGGTGCCATCAGTACCTCCGAGTCTCATTCTTCAGCAGCTGCATATAACACGATCAGTCTGCAGAACCAGAGGAGGTTCTCTGCTCAACTGTTACCCGACTTCGTTACCTGACGATACTCTGCAATCTGTTACTTATGGGACAAGGAAACTGTTACTTGGGGAAGAAGGAAACTGTTACGGTATACATAGTATAGGTCTATACGTCTCATTGAAGGATTTGAGAAGGGATTATCACTAGGCCAGTTTAGGGTTTAGCATAAAATGGTTGAAGCATGTATATTAATTTTGTAAGCTGTATTCAGAAACCTAATTTCAGATACCATTATTGGTTACAAGATTCTACGTCTGTAATATATGATATCAAGTTACAACTAAGGCATGAACAGATTCACAGATGAAAACAGAGCAAGAACTCGGTGTCGAAATCACGGTTAAAGAAAATGATTTTGTACAGTATTTGCAGATTTGATGAACTGCCAAAACATAATCGGCGAAAAACACACAAGGGTTATGACGGAATCATTCGATTGATGGACTGATCCTTCTGGCTTAGAGTTATGACATACCGTCCTTGCGCCCGAGCAATGCAAATCTTTGCCACCTTTGAACAGTAACACCAAACCTTGAATGCTTCTGTCATGTCAGGATGTAATCTGTTTTTGCCTAACCAGTCAGGTAATTGCTCGGCCTGGTCTGAAGATGGCAATGCTAGTACTATGGAGATAAAGGAAGATTCCATGACATGCCATACTTCTCCATTGATGCTGTATGTGACTGCTTCCTCTGTCATCGGTAACCGCTGAAGCAATCAGAGGCTTTGTGTTTCTAACCATCGGAAGCCATTGCTTGATCATCTGGAGCCTTTTTGTGGTTGATCATCTGAAGCTGTTCTTGAGCCGAGGATTCAATGTCGTTCATCGGGGAAAGTGAAGACGATGTAACAAATCTAAAGGCCGAAATGAAGATGCCCATCACGGCTTATGAGCACGAATAGGTTCTGCTTCTGATCCAAACCCGGGAATAACCCTCAAGATCTCCTCTTCCTCGGCTTCTTCCCATGGAACAGCTTCCTCAGTAATTCACACAAGGCGCCGTGGCAAGTTGTCATCATCCTGCAAGAACAGCCAGGGCGTTTTTCAAGTTAAGACACAAGTTATCATCCTCCAAGGCATCAGGAACAACATAGAGAAGCTGTAAGAGATTTGATACGATGATCATCATTGTCTGATTCTTGACAGTAGACCACATTTCCAGAGAGACTGTCAGGAAAGTACTTGCTCTTCTCACTAGGGATTTGGGAGCGGCAGAATATCCAGTCATCAGGTTGAAGAAAGGGTAACTTGTTATCACGTTCTTCTGAGTCGTCACCATCAAATACCTGTATATATTTCTCGTAGATCGTCATCAGTATCAGCTTCTCTATTGTGTTTGACTCTCTCTCTCTCTCCATCTGGGTTTGCTCTGGTTTCTCCCCCAATCGATCGGGTTTTGGGCATCGGAGTCAGCCATGAACGACCTCTTCTCCGGCTCCTTCTCCCGCCTCCCCAGCGGAGAGCCGTCCCCTCACGGCGGCGATGGCGGCGGCGTGAACCTCGACAAGTTCTTCGAAGACGTGGAATCGGTTAAGGGCGAATTGAAGGAGCTGGATCGGCTCAGTGACACACTTCAGTTGTGTCACGAGCAGAGCAAGATGATTCGCGACGCAAATGCCGTGAAGGATCTCCGGTCGAAGATGGACGGCGACGTTGCGGCTGCGCTGAGGAAGGCGAAGACGATCAAGTTGAAACTCGAATCTCTCGATCGCGCCAATGCCGCGAATCGGAGCAAACCCGGTTGCGGACCCGGATCTTCTGCCGACAGGACCCGGATCTCGGTGGTCAATGGCCTGAGGAAGACATTGAAGGATTCAATGGAGAGTTTCAATCGACTGAGGGAGAAGGTTTGGTCGGAGTACGGAGAGATTGTGGAGAGGAGGTACTTCACCGTCACCGGAGAAAACCCCGACGAAGAAACCCTCGATCGTCTGATTTCTACTGGTAAGCCAATCGTTTTCTTACATTCAATTAGAAGGAAAATCCATGTCGAATAGGATCATCGTACTCATCTGGGTTTTGTCTAGGGAACCGAAATCATGTGTGACACTGAACAGAAAACATATCTAAATATGTAGAACCAGTTCTTTGTTTCTGATGCCCAAATCGCCATGGAAATGGACTGTGTCGAGGTATAACGAGGAACAAGAACTTCAGGTTTCACATTCATACCCGAGATTGAAGAAAACTCCAACTGTTTCAAGAGAAACCAACTGTCGGGTTTTCACCATTTGTTCGCAGGAGAGAGCGAGAGATTGTTGCAGAAAGCCATTCAAGAACAGGGCAGTGGTAGAATCTTGGACACCATTAACGAGATCCAAGAGAGGCATGAGGCGGTGAAGGAGATCGAGAAGAACCTCGAGGAGCTGAACCAGGTTTTCCTCGGCATGGTGGTGATGGTCGAGCACCAGGGCTCGGGGCTCGACAACATCGAAAGTCATGTGGCTCACGCTAGTTCCTTCGTCAGGGCAGGAACCGAGCAGCTCGACACCGCGAAGATGTATCAGAAGAACACACGCAAATGGACGTTCTTCACTATCATCATCGTCGTCCTTCTGATCATAATAATCATTGTAGCTGTGGTTTTAGCCGTGGTTAAACCGTGGCAGAACAATGGCGGTGGAGGCATCGAACCAATTACCAGTACCACCACCTTCGACTCTGGCGCCAACTCTTCCATGGCTCAGGCGCGGCGTTTGTTGCGTTGAAGTAAGGCTCGTCTTTTGCGCACATACATATACACACCATTTTTCAATGTTCTTGTTTTGTGCTAACGACTGGGTTTGATGCTAATCATCGTTTTATTCTAGCTCTTGTGAAAAAGTTGAGAACTTGATAATTTGTGGATTCGGGTAAAAATGCCGATGTTCTTATGGAAAAAACGACAAAGTACTTCAAAACAGAGTACAGTATAAAACAAGTTCAACTTCATTACAACACAGAAAAAAGACACAACACAACAGTGGTTCTGAGACATACAACACTAAGGAATCCAAGTTTCTCTCACACACAGAGAATTGGGACAATGAAGAAGCGAATCCCACCATTGTTCTTCACTAGTTTTCAACATGTGCTTAAAGATAAAAAAGTTGATAGCATTAAGGTAATTCACCATCTCTCCTTGCAACTCGAAATCTGATTAAGAGGATGCATACCGAAATGATGAATACCTTAACGGGAGAGGATGAGCCAAAGATGATTTGCCTATTCCAGAGTCAAACGGTTGGCCAAAAGAGGGGGAAAGCCCTTTTGAACCGAGGAGAATTCCCGTCGTTTTTTTTTTTCACGACAAGAAGAATTCTCTTCTCTCCATTCGGCTCATATGCAAGGGGACAGAGACACGACCCTTGAACCGAGTCCTGTCACGTCCCCACTTGCACATGTCAGACTTTGAGGTTGCAGCAACCATTATCCATGGCTGCTGCTGCAGCAATCCATTTGCTGGGTATGACCATACCAGAACCCAGAAAGAAATCCATACTTGTAACTTCAGATCCCGAGAAATTCGACCCGTTAACTTCCCTCGATGAATTCATGGTCCCGTTTTCGGGATGAATAACTTCAGAGTTCTGAGAGTTACTTGGCTGAGGCTGAGGCTGAGGCTGCTTTCCTTCATCACTGCCACCTCCTCTTTCTCCTTTGTTCGGGTTTTTCGTGTTCAGAAAGCGCCCTCCAGTTCCTCTCGGACGTCTCATGGCATGGAGATGGCGTGAGTAATGCATATACGGTTGCTGATCATGAAATTTTCCGAATGTTAAAAAAGCTGATAAACTAACAAAAACGTTCAAGATGTATGTATATAATAGGAGTTTATTACGTGCCTTACGAGACTTATTAGTCACTTTGTTGTAGAGAACAGCCTTAGCACGGGACTGGCGGCGTCTGATGATTCCATGATACTGCTTGGCATTCACATATATGGGACCATCTTCTGTTGCCATGTTCATAGGCAGCATTACTCTCCCCTGCTTCATTCATAATGGTAAAGTCTTCTGTCACATTCACCATTTCAAGCTCATATAAGAGAAGATTCAATCATGAATAGATTCTGGGTTGGGTACCCGAGATTTGCGGGTTATACAAAAGTCGGGTGTCTGAGATAAATTTCGCGGAAACTAACCGGCATTTGAGATTCATAGGCTGAAACAACTCCATAGTATTGCTCCACATAAGGATACTTTGCCAAGATCTGCACCAAAAAACATGAAAGATTTTATAAACTGAGGAAGAACAGTAAGAAATGAATCGGTTCAAAATGTTCTATCAAAGAAATCCTACTGTAGGCTGAGCAAATCCAAACTCAAAGCAAGCAGATTGTGTTGTGAGGGCTCCTTGAGGCTTCTGCCCATCATCTAAAACCGAAAATTGCTCCCACATCAGTCATATACAGTTAGATTCTCTGAGAAATATTGTAATATTGATCAGTCATATACAGTTGGATTATGTTGTTTATTGCACATAAGAACATTGTTCATACCACTTTGGTCATTATTGAAATCACAAAAGAGAAATTCCACCCAACAATTTGTGCTTTTAATATTCCCTACTACTATCTTGATGTGGGATTCAGACAAAGGGAAGAGATTTCTTTACCAGCAGAGAAGGTGAACTGAGTTGCAGCGTTCAGCTTATCCATTCCTTGTTCTGTCTCTCCAACAGTACTTCCATGGCGGATCAAAGGCTGAGATCCCAAAACATTCCACCAAGTGGTCTGTGGAGGAGACAGAATCTGCCCTTTTGGATTATTCCCTAAAATTCCCTCTCTTTCCTTGAAATACACAGTTTGCATAGCCATGCCCTAATCCGACCAGTAATTGTTGCAGTGAACCACAGAGAAATTTCGATGTTCGGTCCCTGGAAATGATCAAAGTCAACAACAACAGCAGCAACTAACACTTATGAATGAAATCTGTGTCGAATACCAAATCGCAAGCCACGACGGAAAGGTTCAACTTGAAGGAAACTTGTGGGATTGGATTCAAAACAAAAACCCACACGATTGATATGCCAATCATCTTGAAGAAACAGACTTTACGTTCGAACAAGGTCAATCGAGGGTAAAAGAATGAATCTTTCAGCAAGAAAAGGTGGACCCAGAAACGGAATCTACGCGACAACTGGAATATCCATGTCCAGAGACCAGAAAGAGCCAACAACTGTCCAAACGCAAGACAGGGAAAGAGAGATGACCAATAAAGGGGGAAAAAAGCATGCCCATGGTTGTTTACATGAAAAAGATCAAATCTTTACTGATAGATGCTAGCAAGCGAAGGAGATTCTAACGAGATCAATCGACAGGAGACTGCAAACGAGAAGACAAAACGAAGAGCAAGGAAAAATAAAGCAAAGGACTTGAAGAAACTCACAGAGAGACAATGGAAGAAGAAGAAGGAGAAGAAGAAGAACCAGAGAGCAGCTTCAGATTCCTAGTAAGTTGAAAGGAAAAGCCCACTTCTCTTGGGAGCCATGTCGATTCCAAAACTAGCAAAAACTAAACTTTTTTTTGGGTCTGAAGCAGAGAGAGAGAGAGACAACGAATGAGACGGGCGATATATACACTGACAAGTGTAAGCAAAACTACGGGAACCCCTCAACCAATTACCTTCACTTTTCATGCGAGCCTTTGTATGTTTCTGTGTATATTATATATATATGTATATGTGTGCGTATATAGTGAGTTCTGTGCAATTACGTGTTCTTACCACAATTATCCGCAGATCCAATATCAGACTTAGAAAAATAATTTAATGTCCAATGGATAATGTTCTTTTTTTAATCCCGCAATTATTTCGAACTAACAAAATATCTACACTGTTTGATACTAACCTAAACTAATAAACCAAATTCACTATGTATGATATTATACGAAATTAAAGAAATAATAAATAGAAAAACAACTAGATCTTGGTTGCATTTCATGTGATTCAAATAATTGGATATCCAATCATTACAAAAAATTAATGTAATAAATAGTCGTGTACTATCAATAGTAGTTCGTTTGTTATAAATAATCGTATACTTCAAACTATTTATTTATTTTATTATAAGTAAACACTAATTTTGCATATTATGTTATACATACGTATGTGGAAGAGATTTGAAATAAAGTATTCAATGAAAATGCCATGGTCCAAAAATAAAGTGGTCCTTAGGAGTTTAAATATCTTCTTGGGAAAATAATTGCCTAGTAGTTAATGATTGTGGTCCTTATGAGTTTTTATTACTTACATTTCCTTTTGGGAATATGATTAATTTGTCATTTACTATTATAAAGTTAAAAAAAGGATAAAGAAAAATGCCACGTTTCATAAGGCTTTTATATGTATGTAACCGTGACCACTAGCTTGACCTAAAACAAACCATATATAAATCCATATGAAACATATGTTGCAACAACATTTGTACGAAATATATCATTTTTAGGGGTGCTCATTTATGAATATTTTCAAAATCATTTTTTAACTTTAGAAAAATTGTAATAGCTCGTATTTTAAAGAAAAATATATAAAAATTGTGATTAGAATAAAACTATATATTATTTTATTGAGGATCTAATATAAACTTTGGATAAGATGGCTATGCCATTTGGTCCAAATGACTTGGATTCAATAAGATTTAGAATATATTTGGCAAAAATAACAAGGAGACAGAAGATTAGTACTTTACACGACTCAATCCATAGACAACGTAGCTTTTGTGGGGATGTTTACTATATATTGAATGCGTTGTCTAATATAATGTTAAATATCAATAATACATATATATATATATATAACATGTGATATTAACAAATTGAGCATAAAAAAATATAAGTTGCTGAAAGAAAAATTTTGTTATCCAGATAATAACATTTGAGTCATGGACTATATTTTAGAATATCATTGAATAGAAATATATAAGAAATTCATAAACTAACAAAATGTTTTTATTTTTGTAGAATTCATCAAATTATTTTTTAGATCAATTGTATCTTAAATACTGGAATTAGAGAAGTAAGAACAGTATTTCAAAATAAGGAATACCATTAAATTATGAGATAATAATATTACAATTAATAAACTTAATAAATATTAAGAAAAAATAATACTATAATCGATAAACTCAAAAAATTTAATTTTGTATTTTATAGATGTCCAAATATCCTAAAATTCATAATGCAATTCAATGCAAAAATAGCGTTGACGACAGATGAATCATACGATGATAGTTGACCGTCCACAAAGAAGAGCGGCCCCTCCAATCGTGGGATGTGACGTATGACACGTGTCGACCTCTCGACGGCTCTCGATGCCACGCTGGTCTTCCTTTTTATAACCAAGAACGATGATGTCATTCCCCCATTATATATATATATGTATAGTTTGGTCTCCAAGTGGAAGTCTAGTCTTGGGTCACGTAAGAAAAATAAAAACGATAAATAAAAAGGTGAAAGTTTTTTTTTTCTTTCCCTTGCTTTTGTTTGGCGTTTAATATCTAATGTATACTTTGGATTTTAATTTTATAATCCACGTTGCCTGTTGGACGTGCAATCCACATCACGGCGCCATTATAAAATTTCAAAATATACTTTTAGTTATAATTAATAAGCGATAAGAAAAAATTAAATAAATATATTATTATTTTTAATATACTTAGATTTTTTTTAAAATACTTAGAATTAATAAACTGGACCGGTATGTCAAGCCTTCTCTTTTTAAAAATAAATACAATTATAAATATGAAATATTGGTCTAGAAAAAAAAATACTATAATAATATGAAAATATTTAAGCGGTGGTATTTGAGCTTGAGTGATATTCATTTTAATTTAAAAAGTGTCTTATAAATAAATTATCGTCTACATAAACTAGTTTTTATTTTTCTATATAAATATACATATACTAATTTTATTGAAGTTCTTTGAAAAATAAATTAATGTCAATATTAGCCAATATTGTATCAATGTGTCAAATGAAAAAAATGGCATATTAGCAAAATATGTATATATACATATCACCCTTATATAATATATGTAACTCCGAGTTAATGTAGTATATATATATGCTAATGATTATACGAATATAATGTAATTTGAGTGATTATCAAAGTAAGGGTATTGGATAATGGGCACGATGGGCAGGATATCTAATGGAGGAAGTGGATTAGGAAACACATAATAATAACATATTACAAGTACATGCTTTGTACCTCACTCATATGTCTTTTTATAAAATTTTTTTAATCTAAAGAAAATCTTTTGGAGTATATTTCCTAACTCGATGACGATGCTCTTCGAAAGTGCAAATACAAAGGAAAACCTCTTTTTTTTAAAAAAAAAATCTAAAGATTTTTTTCCTATTTGAGCCACTAATATAATGTATAATTAAGTTAGTGGGAAACTATATATGTGTGTGTGTGTGTGTGTGTGTGTGTGTGTGTGTGTGTGTTGACAAAAAAAAAATCAT